GATTTGATAAAATTCCTTCTGTATGCTGGGCAAATTCTATCGGTAGACGACCCAGCAATACGAGTCAAAATAACAGAATATTAAAAAGTGAATTTTTCTTTAAGATGAAAAGTAAGGGCTAGAAAACTGACGGACTTTAAACATAAGACAAACTGACTATCAGTTAATGAATAGCAATACGAAAAGACTACAAACTTACAAGTAGCTAAAACATTGAAAACAGTACAAACTTACGAGTAACTAAAACATAGATCCCAATAAAATAGCTATCATTACCGTACTTTGGCTTAAGTGAGAAATTTCAGAGAAAAAGCACCAATTATGTAGTCATATTTTTGCTTATTATCCAAATTTGTTATCTTGAATTCCATTTTAAAATGTCATGTCATTGAGCCAGGAATACATAAGATTGAGAACAACCGGAAGAATCGAACGTATGGTAAAAGACACAGGTTTTGTATTTGCAAAGATTACGCAATCATTTCTCGGTTTTGTTGTGTCAGAAAGTTATTAAGTACAATAACGGACAAAATTACACATGAAAAAAGTTTTCAACCTCTTGCTCCACATTGTTAGGTAAATGTTCGAAGAAACAACTATCGCCGAAAGGGCACTGATTCACTTTGTATAGCGGGCATTCCTCCTAAGCGTTGAATAAATAATAGAAATTTAATCACAATTCTATTTGAATAAGCCTATCATCTGAAGAATACCTTGTGTTCTTAAGTATGTATCGCTAAACGCCCTCATTAAAGGATTCCCAGAGTCGTGAAATTACGTCACCCGCACAAATATTCTTCATAGGTGCTTAAAAGCGGACCTTACGTTTACCCTGTGACGCTGGTGAACTGAAGTGGTAGGGCTAACCATTTCTGCTTTGCATGATGGACATCTCCTGTGCGTACGGAGAAATATCCATATAGTGACTGAGTACACTTGCTTATGTGAAGACTATATCTTACATCCGATTCCGCCGAAAGCTAGGTGGGAAGAATGAGGTAGGTCGTTAGGAATCGTTTTCAACAAATAATCCCTTGCACTGCTCTAGCAAAGACCGATAAGCTACTGTGAGTAAGTTCAGTTACTACGTTTGAGCTCGGCAAGGCCGTTGATATTAGCCGCCAAAACAGTAAATTAACTATTAATTTTCCGACCTTGGAAAGACTCTGATATGCAGGCGTTGACAATTATAGAGGATTCTAAAATCTCAAAGTCATTATAGGGTGTTTAAAGCTGGAAGGACTATCGTGATTATCAGACCTTGCGATGCACGCACACTAGCAACTGAATCTTCCATTGCAGACCTGATAGTTTAGACTCAAAGGATTATGCATTTCATCATAGGATTGGCCAAAATGAGAAAATGGTATGTACTTAACACCGGCCTCGATACCGAACTGTTTATCGAAACATGCAATAATAGAGAAGTCGGCAGCTCAAAGTTCTCGTCAAATTTGGTTTGGACTCGAGTTTGGTCACAATCATCGATTTTTCTGGACACCCATATATACCTAGTTGTACGCCAGCAGTTTAACACTTCGACAACATCCGTCGCCTATTTCCCAATATTAAGCTGGAACTGTGGTGAAATGGAAACTACACTGCCATGGAGCATTTCTAAAGAAGGAATTATATTCTCCATAAGATCGTTCCACGGACCTCCCTCATAGAGGGATCTTATGCTGTTAGGCGCGAAGCAAGGTGGTGCGTCCTCAAGTGGCCGAAAGAAGCTTAATCGCGGACGAAAAGCGACCTTTGCTCCCCTGAGAGGAAGGTAGATCAGAAAATGAATTCCATGTTTCTACTGCGCCGATTTAGTACATACCTGCCATCTTTACGAAGGCATAATCACGCATGCGAGCGTGGGTGTGTTTTCCTACATGCAAATTTTATTCTACCAATCAATTCGGTCAAAAGCCTGAAATCAAGTGGTAGGAAAGTATATTAGAGGCAGTTAGGAGTCGTCTCCAACAAATAAGCTACATGTCCACTCTGGGAGAGAATGACAAGATACCCATGAGCATACCCAACTCCACGTTCAGAGCTCAACGAGCTATACATGGGTATCAAAAGGCTAAACACGGTGAAAGAAGCGAGTCTCATTCCTCTGATTCGGCTGGTTAGGTAAGACGGTTACAGAGAAACTGCTAAAGCCTCAGAGCCATTCAAGGCTGCCTAAATCACAAGGGAATAAAGTGACGACCTACGTTTACAATGCACGCACATTTGCATCTGAATCTTCGATAGAAGACTTGATCGTGCGGGCAGGAACGATAAGCTACGACATCATCGGACTGGTCAAGACGAGAAGACGCCGTTCATTCAATGCAGTCTAAGACACTGGAGAAGAACTGTTCCTCGGAACATGCGACAGTATAGGAATCGGTGGTGTCGGCGTTCTCTTCAACACGAGTTTGGCTATGAACATCGATTCATTCAAACAGCTAGCATCTAGCGGAACCGGACGTCAAGGATTGAAGAAATGTGGATCCAAACCAGCCTCGACAGTCTTCGCTTACGCAACAACATAAAGCAATGACGAGGAAGAAGTAGAAACGTTCCATATGGACTTGGAAAAATTTTACCGAGAAGATCGCAAATTCTTTAAGTTTATCATTGGAGATTTTAATGCTAATAGTGGACCCAGGAGAACATGTGAAAAACGTCATATAGGGATCCACGGATTAGAATGGAAAGAAAATGCAGGGTAAGCGGCTGTTTGAGTTCACACAGGTTGAAATGCCTTATCGATGTCGCTGTTGTCCCACAATTTCACATGTGATCGGACCACCGCGTTCGGGCAAAACATTTTTTCACAACGAATTGGAATCAGCGAAATTCAAGGAATGCAATTGGAAGATCAGGATATGTCATATAAATTTGTGACTTTTTCTGACAAGATCGACAGAAAATACAATCGACTTAACATCCGTTGGATTGCTAAACATACGTGACCTTGTTATTAAAGTGCCATTAAAACCATCGTCTCATTTTGTAACTTCACGATAATACCAGGAAAATTGAGTTTGAAGGTCACCAACAGACGCTTGCCTCCAGAAAATCTCGAGTTGATATGCTAACGTGTTGCTGCAACGATAGCGACAAAAAACCCACAAACTTACGTTTCAGTTTATAAAGCGCTCGAAAAAATGAAAAAAGGACATTCTAAAAACTTATAAGTTGCAGTATTATCCAAAGTTGTAGAAGATCAATAGGAGACTAAGTTGACCGGCTCAATGCATCCTCGCCAAACTGCCACTTCGTCAAGAAGCGCAAAGCAGAAGATCGGGTTTGTCCGATAGTCATGCTTATAACTTACGTATCAGTTTATGGAAAATGGATACATCGTTTCGGCGTTTCTCCCTTCCGGAATGCAAAGTATTAACACATAGTAAGGAACGGTAGAGCATCCGATCCGGATATGATGTATAAAGGCGTACACTGAAAAACCGATTACCACTCCTCATCAGCACACCTGCTCGGCTTTTCATAGGTCATATGTCGAAATACACAGCCCCAAACCAACAAGAAACCATCGAAATGCGTTACTGCACAAAAAGGAAGTGCTACTTTCCTCTTCGTGTCTGTGGTCTAGAAACACTTTACTTGTGTCATAATTAAAAGGACTTACAGAAGACTGGAGGAGGAACGGCTTTGTGAGTAAGAGAGATTCCGGCTTTGTGAACAAGACAAAAAACTCCAAGAGCATCCACACGATGATGGAACCCATTAAAGTATTCATAGAGTGGAAGGGACCGTTTTAGTCTCATTTTCATCGGCCTAACACAAAAGTCGAGAATGTTATTTGTAGCCATTATCAAGAATGTCATGAGAAAACTGGAAAAAAGAGAAGAGAATTCGAAGTCCAATATGTACCCCTTTTTCACACTGTTGGTGATATCGCTGTTATAATATTAACCCCTTCACGGCCATGAGCAATGATTTCAACGTGTACGCTGCTGTACATTTCGGACCGTACAGATTGATTTCAATAACGGGCAGCGGTCGTGAAAGACTTGAAACTTTTGTATTGCAACAACTCTTTAGTGCACAGGGTTGACTAGAACTGCTTCTCCTTCAATATTTTCAAGTGGATACATTGTTTTTTGATCAAATAACACTTTCACGATCCTTTGTAGTCAATCGATGGCTTATCGAACACAGATTTTATACTGGAGTTGGTTCATGGGTAAGTGTTCTCAGATGTATTTGCAAAAAAACGCTCTGGACGATGGTATGTAATCGGCGGACACAAAAAACGTGGAAGAAACATAAAAATGCACTTTAATTGTTGAAAAAACCATGTGGAAAGCTAATAATATCATGGCTAGCCAATGGACTATTTTTCCTTCGTCACACGCAAGAAGTGTCCAAGAACATGGGAACGTAAGATAAGAACATAGCCGATATTTAGAATTTAAAGAAACTGAAACAAGAAACCAGTACGTCGCGCATCTTGCGGGCGCTCATGGACCCTACGGATCCTTATTCTAATGCGCATTCCATTTGCGGTCATTAGACCGTGGTCCGACGCATTCGACACGCGAAAGTGGCAAAGGTCGTGAAAGGGTTAAGAGTTGGTCAAACGAAAGGAACACATGATTCTGTTGCTAATGTTCCATTCACGCTCAATGAAACGAGTGCTTACGAAAGCGTGAAACTAACAATAGCAGAGACCACGCAGTTTGTACCAAGAATCCGAAGCTCGACCTATGTCAACCACCAAAAGTCAGAAAAACAGCTATAAACGTCGAAAAATCGAGAATCAAGTGGGTTGCGGAAATGAAGCGGTCTTAACGACAACAGATGGACAGCATTAGTTAATGACTGAGTCACAGGAGATGTCAATATTAAAACTTCTCTACAAAAAGTTGTATCTGGAGTCTCTTGAGCAAGCGGAACCCAGTGACTAATCTTGCATAGAAGAAAGACATGGCGATTACGGCGCCCGTTCAAGGGCTCGGTCAGGTAATATATGTGAACTGTGTTAATAGACCCCATTAAAAGCTATAGTATAGCCTAGGCATGGGAATTTGGCCGAAAGAAAAAAACTTCGAAACACCTCCATAATCTACGGGAAAGCAACCAACCCTTTCGAATGAAACGAAACCTGGAGTAACCTCATCCATCTCATTCACAGTAGAATAACTTGAAAGAGAGACGGCCTAAAAGACCAAAAGGAAAAAAAATGGAATTAACATATAGAATATTTTAAAAGTAGTTTACTAACCTCATTAGAAAGTTCGTCTAAAGACGATGAAATCCAAGAACCACTGAATAATGAAGTAGATGGACTTAAAGATGATAAATCCGACCGTTCTAGTGGCATGGAAATGGGCAAAGTCGGCTTAAACTTATATTGTATAATTACACCCTATTTAATAGTCAACCAAAGACCCCACTTACTGTACGCTGTGCAGCTCCAAAAGATGAATAAAACGCCATCTGCTCTCGTTCAACTTCCTCGCATGTAAGACCAAACGCTTTGACTTTTGACGCTGCACTTGCGTTAGCTTCCAGAATCTTTTTCGAAAAAGAAGAAAGGAATTGAAAAAAAGGAAAGCACGCTCTAGACAAAATAACTGATATGCAATATGACAACCGATTATACCCACCGTAGGTGAAAAATTGTTCATGTTATTTTGAGCATTTCGCGATAGAAACATCCATTGCTGTTGTTCCGGTGTGAGTTGAGTAGTAGATGACTGCATAACGTGTTTTCTATTGTCTCTCGTGATTATTCCATGATTTGGAATCTGAAATAATGATAACTATGTAACCTCGTTTATTACGCGAAGCTCGAAAAGGCAAAATCAAGGCACTGAATCAAATGGTCTTAACATCCACAACAACCAACACAATCAATGTGCGTCAGTTATGCGTATACAACTTGGATGCTTGGAAATTTGGGCGGCCTGTCCTCACTGGTTGTGCGGTTCCTAGCATATTCTCTAATTTTCGGAGTTTTGCTAGTTTAGCCATTGTGTTTTCCTGGAGTCCCGAGGTCAGCCTGACCAAAGTCTGCCCCAGGTCGTCACCGCCACAGGGAGTCGAGTATACAACTACTAGTTTTATCTATTAAAATTGTGCTTCTATGACGCCACCTATAATTATTCCTATGACTATTGAAAATATCGGAAAGAAAGCATGCGCCTTAAAAAAATCACCTTGGAATATGTTCTCGAATACTGCATAAAACGTTTTGCATCAAAATATTCCACGTAGACCTGATACTATTCCAAGTTTTCACCATGACAATATAGAGGATAGCTCGATGACCATGTCACTTCTTTCTTCCTGTTGCTGCACAGGTTTGCATATAATCCTGGGACCTGTACTGACTAACCAGTTTCAGAACTACGTAATAAACCCTTTTGAAATCGATCACTGTAATATGAACGCATACAGGAGAGATCACACTGCCGCTTTTCCTTCACTTCACATTTTCGTTTGCTTAGTGCCGTGCTACTGCTCAGTATTCCTCAAGACCGTTACTAGAAGCAAATGATTGACCTTTGTAGACCATAAGGAAATTCTTCCCTTTTATGAAGTTCTGTGAAGACAGCGTATAACTCTAATACAATATATAACACTGGGAAGAAACATTGTATATAATAATTTAACGTATTATTTACTGCCTATTCTTTTCAACGGCAGGGTATACATTGTGAAATATAACTTCAATGATGCTGAGATATTTGCAAAACTCCGGACCGCAGGTGTATGCGGTGGGGAACGAACACGCGCTGTTGTCCTTACCGGGGAGCAACGCACTTCACCACCACACCATCCGGGTCCTTCGTTTTGCCTGTCTATCAGCTAGTTCTATCGATCTTTTGCCATCAGCAATCACCCGTCAACGGGATTGATCTGGGGGACCCAAATCGGCAACGAACCCAGTTAAGCTGAGGCCGCAGTTACACCTGCGGTCCGGAGTTTTGCAAATATCTTAGCATCATTGAAATTATACATAATAATTAAATTTGAAACTCACTAGTCCAGATAAGTGGTAATACAAGGAGAGCAGATAAATTAACGACTAGTGTCTTTTTAAACACCATTTACAAAAAAAAACCCACTTCACTTTCCATGAAGCGATTTCCATCCATGGCATAAGATTGCAAAGGTCCATGTGAAAACCAGCAATGTGGCCCATATTTGCATGTTTCGCCGCGTTTCCAAAATTCACAGAGCCTCGTCTGGAAATGAACAATTTTCCCCGTACTCTAAATTAGGCATCAAAATAAGCGTAATTAATATGACTTAGTTTAAAGCACAAAAACCGTCTCCAGTTGAGAAAATGAAAGTTTTCGTATGCTACGTGTTAAAATCGGAGAACAGACAACTATTTGCTTCATTTCGGCTTAACAATTCTACTCTGAGATAATAACTTCGCAAGTAAAACCTTTTGGTGAGAGCAACCGTATTTAAACACGGTTGCTTCACTACTTATCTAACCACGAACAAATGAATGTCTCCTAGTAAATAGAAAGCAGCATTGAAGCAAAAATCACATCACTATACTGTGCCTAATACTAATGTGTTAGATTCGCACTACCACTGAACGCCAATAAAAGCTCTAAAGATCTTGGCGTTGATCAATCCCTGAGGGCGTGCCATGCATTCGACTTCACTAAGCATCGTTGGAGGTGATTGAATTCATATCTGGCCTTTACAATGACTCATGGTGCCTACCGATGTATCTACCCAATGCTGCTATCCTCCCGGACAATCAATTTGTCGCCCCGAGGAGGATGGAAGGCTCAGTGAGCCAGGGCGCGGGAATTGATCCCATGTGTGTTGGTGGGCGTCTCCAACCACTGCGCCACGTGCGCCCGTTTAAACGCCAATAAAATGTAAGATTCACTCCTTCATAGTTTGCAAATAAAATGTCCTACTGTATACGCCCATCGATTAAATTCTCCACTTTTCCCTTCATTCAGAAATAACTGTTTGTCGATCAAAGGAAACTCTATAGTAAGTGATGCAATAGTTCACTTCTTTTAGGCAGCAAACATTCCTCTCTTCTATATTCACAATTCAGCACATGGAAAATTTGTTTGATGTCGCTTATGTGTATCTTCCTCACTGTAAAAACCCCTTTTGATAGCAGTTTTGGTGGAAAACCCTAGACCTACCCTGATCGTTGCGCTTAACGAGGTGTGAAGAATGAAAACTGCATCGCACAAAATCTTTAATAAAAAGACTTGAAAATCAAAAAATGTAAGTGCAATGTAAATGCATCATTAGGCACTGATTTTAGCTGCTAATCATAAAGGTAGCAAAAAAATCTCTACCAAACCTTAGCCAACTGCGGGTATGTCGAAGGCAGTGGTGGGTAAACCAACAACGAACAAGTGGCGACAGGCGCTCGAAAAGGATAAGATGTGTTGGTGAAATCCTAGGAATAAACAAATGTTGATGACATGAAACTCTAGACACAGTATAGAAAATTGTAAGAACAAACTAAGCCTAGATAGGTCTACAAACTACTCTTTTTAATTCCGCTCTAAGGAAACTACAAAGTGGTAAACGCTGAAGCTTTCGATATAGATTAATCTCCTAGAAATGCCTCTTACAATTAGCTCCATTAAGTACAACAGAGATGATTGAATGCATAGACATCCTATACAATTACAACTTGTGAGAGATTGTCAATTTTTCTAGAAAAATTTTCTATCCTCTAGAACAAGCCTAGTACCAATCTGCCTACACCGGAGGGATGAAGCGCGGTATCGAACCATCGACCATATGCATCACATAGCCACCTCTAACCATTGCGCTATAAGCGTTCTTGAAAAACCCATAGAACTTGTTATTCTCTTGTAATTTCACATCAATAATGCGTTACATGTGTTTCGTTCGAATTTTATACGTAAATTCAAAAAAGGGTTGAACCCTACCCAGACGGGTCCAGGCGAGAATGGGGGCGTATTGATGCCCCAGAATAAAGAATCGCTCAAAAGTGAAGGAATTGCTGATGTCGGCTGAGCAACATTTTGCCTAAAATTACATTCGATAGAGATAACAACAGAGCAACCAGAATTGTAAAGTACATTCTTGCTAGTACCACACGTAGTTCACTGACCTACTTACTTGGATACTTGGACGACCCGTCTTCACTGGTTGTGCGGACCCCAGCATAATTTCCATTTTTTCGGAGTTTTGCTGGTTTAGCCATTGTGTTTCCCTGGAGTTTCGAGGTCAGCCAGGCCTAATTCTGCCCCAGCCGTCACGACCACAGGTTGTCGCCGCCCTTGTGGATTAGAGGGAAATTTGCCACCATGCGACTAGTTTGATATCAGGAGAATGGCGGATCGTGGTATTGATTACTGACCTACTATCTACTCTTATTCCAATGAAACGAAAATTAGTTCAAGATCGGTAAATAATCTAGCCTCTATTTGATAAAAATAACATTTTTTAAAGGAAAAGTAAATAGTTTAGAATGGCACTCAAATAATTTCACCACTGGGAACTTCTGAAAAATCAAGGCTTGGAAAAGGTTATATTTACGACAAGGGTTCGAATGTTTTGAACTCAAATCTTCAAATCCCAGTCATTGGTTCAAAGCGATTGTGTCAATTAAGGAGGTTGTAGACGACTGTTGTGACCGAAATATCTCCAAACCAAATAGGTTAAAACACGGCTGAGAGGAAGGGGAAATGAAGGACCTGTATGACGTGGTGGTGAACATGTTAGCGCTCGGTAAGACTAATAGCAGGTTCCCATTCCCACCTTAGACTCCTGCGGTGTAAAATTTTGCAAACATCTCAGCATCACTGTGGTGATATCTCAAAATCGTTTTACGATTCAGGTAACACAGTTACACTGTACTGTACTGAGTACTTACCGTGACGATGTTGATGACAAATATATTTGAAAATGTCACCCAGTGACGGCTATAAACCCAAGGGATTTCTTAATAAAAAAAAAGACAAAACTCTCGGCGTTGATCAATCCCTAAGGGATGCGCCATGCATTCGACTTCATTAATCATCGTTAGAAGTGATTGCATGCATATCTGGCCTTTACAATGACTCGCTGTGGCCTACTCTTGTATGAGCCAGTGCTCCTATCCTCGCAAACAAGTCTGGTACCAATCTGTCGACTCCGTAAGGATGGAAGGCTTGTTGAGTGGTGAGCCATATTTGCGGGGATCGATCTCGTGTGTGTTGTAGGGCGCTTCCGACCACTGCACCACACGCGTCCTTTCTTCTCTTAATCCGAATAATACTCTTAGTTTAGTTCAAAGCATGCCATCTATGCAAAAACTATATAATATTACTAGGAAGACGAAAAATGTGAGGAAATAACGGTGGCTAGTCAAGTGAAATCTCTTTATGCGAGAAGATTTCGCTCAGCTACATAAACCATGAAACGTGTTAATGTTGCTACAAATCACCGTCCAGTCCAAGAACTTTTTCACTAGATCTGACCTTCTCTGAACATCTCTACATTACAGAAAACAGTTTCAGAATGGTGGTCCATATGTGATATTAGAAACCCAAAACAACAAAAATCTTAGAAACTGGTGATTTCGTAAGAACGCCAAGAAGTGATTTTGAGTTTTGTGCAGTTATAACATTGAATATAAGATGCTGTTTATAACTAAAATACTACTGGCTAAGCGCTCTTCATGATAGAAGTCTTTTAGGACCTAAATACCTAATTTTAGGGCTTAAGAAATCTGACAGTTCATAAACATTCCCCTTTACACACTGTACATGAGAACGTCAGATATTCCCTAATTCTCAAATGGACTTCATCGCAACAAGACAAATGAAGTAGAACAAACTCTAAAAACAAGTACAACCACAATGACGCTGAGATGCTCTCAAAACTTGGACCACGGGTCAGATCGAACCACGATTACCCTTTCTGGGGGCCCGCATTACACATTGCACTACGGATCCCCTTGCTTTGCGTTTCTTTCAGCTAGTTTTCTACCTAACGCTGCCGTCCAAGAGCAAACTTATAAAGACATATAAACTTTGCCTGGGAATAGCTCGCTGGCTCCCAGATCCAGGTTTTCGGGAACGGCCACGGTTATTCTCTGAGATGTTCCCGTTCGGATGTGACGTGTGTGGCGGCATCTGGAAGAAAATGTGTGGAAATCCACATAATGTAATAGTCAATACCATACTGAAAACGTTTTTCTTCAATCTGAACATAAACTTCTGAAGTCAATTTTGCACGTTTTAGCTACCAGTTCAGGCCAATATATTACCTACTAGTTGTAAGGGAAATGAAAACTGGCTTAGAGACGTCTTTGGCAATCTATACTATCCTAGCAGAGATACTATTTGTATAATGTTCAGTACTATCACAGAGGTACTGGAACAAGTGAACGAGTAAAATGTTTGAAGCTCAACGAAAAACAACAGAGCCTCGGAACCAAGGAAAGTAAGGATATATCCGGAAATTGAAGTCATGATCCATAAAAACTCTCCCAACGGTTCACTGCCACATCGTGGCTGGAAGGTGTTCATGGATGTCGGGCTGCGATGTACAGCAGGGGGATTAATTCCCTGGCAGATTCTCTCAAGTTGAGGATGAGTTCGATGTTTCTAACGGGAAGCCTAGTTAAGAGTAAACCAATACCATGATCCACCACCGTCCTGGTATCAAAGTCGCATGGCTACGAATCTCCTTCTGATCAACAAGGGCTGCAACTGCCTGTGGTAGTGAAGACCTGGGGCAGACTTTCGCCAGGCTGACCTAGGGATTCCAGGGAACCACAATGGCTTACCCAGCAAATCTCCGAAACATGGAGATTGTGCTGGGGCCCGCACAACTAGTGCGGACGGGCCATTCAAGTCTCAAGTAGGTAGGTAAGATCCATAAAAACAAATCGAATCAAGAAGTTCTGATTAACACTTACGTAGGTACTTCATACACACTTGACACTTGAACGGCCTGTCCTCACTGGTTCTGCGGGCCCCAGCGTAATCACCGTTTATCGGAGATTTGCTGGTCAAGTCATTGTGGTTCTCTGGAATCCCGAGGTCAGCCTGGCCAAGGTCTGCCCCAGTTCTGCACCACGACGGGCAGTCGCAGCTCTTGTGGATCAGAGAGAAATTTGCCACTATGCGACTTTGATACCGGGACGGTGGCGGATCCAGGTATTGGTTTACTCTTAGCTAGGCTTCTTGATGGAAACCCCGGACTCCTTCTCAGCTTGGGAGACCCCGCCGAGAGAACAAATCACCTCTGTACATCGCAGTCCGACACCCAGGAACACCTTCCAGCCACGATAAGGCGGTAAACCGTTGGAAGGTAGGTACCTTATAGGTAAAGAAAATAGTTTAGTTGCAAGTAAACAGATTGAAATAACCCAAACAAGGGAAGGCTTAAGGAGACCGACGTACTGGTTACATCTGGTAATTATACTAATTTAGTTACAACTACATAAATTCTACAATCACGAACAAAAGGAAGACTTCCAGGGACCAACATTGCTCTACCTAGACCAAGTTACTACCATTTTAAGCTACTCAGAACTACATAAACTGTACGATCGCTACTAAATGAAGACATAGAGGGATCGACGTCGTTCTACTTACATAAAGTTACTGCAAGGCATTTTGACTATGCTCTAAACACTAACAATATGGACACAGAATTGAAATTTTCCACGAATGACTTAGTGTTCCAGGCTTTCTGTTGCAGAATTTCATTAAGAGGGTATGTCTAGAAGTTATTCCCATGACCGACTTCCGATTAAACTTAGCATTGAACAATCCCTGAGGGACGCCCCATGCATTCGACTTCACTAAGCATCGCTGGAGGTGATCGAAAGCATATTTGGCCTATATAACGACTCTCGGTGGCCTACCCATGTATGGAGCCTACCCATGCTGCTTTCCTCCAAGACAAGTCTGGTACCATTTTGCCGATCCCGGAGGGATGGAAGTCTTGGTGGGCCGCAACGGGCGTGGGAATCGATCCCATGTGTGTATTGCAGGGCGTCTCCGACCATTGCCCCACATGCGCCCATAATACAAGCATAATCATATACTAGGGGAGTAGTATACAGCGTAGTGTAATAGTAGTGTAATAACCCTATATTTACTTAACAATAACATAGAAAGTGTGTCTAGAAGTACTCGGAAGTTTACCAGAATTGTAAAAAAGCGTGACGAATACAAAAACAAAAGAGAATTGAGCTGAGCTATTTAGACGAAGATATTTCTAGGCACATGCTTATACTGTTGATGTAAGCAAGAGGGAACAAATCTACGAAATGGCTGAAAGAGTGAAGACAGAAGTTGGGAAGGTGGACATTCTCATCAATAACGCTGGCATAGTTACAGGTTAGTACTACCTTTCAGTACTGTTACATCAGACTTTCAATGATTTATCGATGTGCTCTTAAAGGAAGGGAAATCTATGAGGATATGGAAGTGATTTTACAGTCGTAATCGAGGAGTCATTGGTAGAAACGCGAGCGGGATACGTTTGTATTACGCAACCTCGCGCGCAATTTGATCTAGACTTTCAAACGAGGAAAATCAATCCGTACACTTTGCACGGACTAAAAGTCGTACCGCGATACTAGTTGTAGAAGTTACGTCAAGTGGATTCTAGGGTGATTTATCTCTATATCGTTCCTACTCTTCAGCTCCCAATTGAATCCTTTCTGATAAGCTTGATAAGTAACTAATAAGAGGTTAAAACTTAAACGTTAGCGTTTAGAAAGTTAAATTGTAATATTATGCCTTCAGTTACCACCGTAAAACTGGGTAAATATACCACATTGCTGTTGCTTCGTAGTTTTGATAAGATCTATCTAAAATGGGTACAATCCATTAACGAGATTCACTTGTGAAAGTAGACGATTAAGAGGGTTCAAGCCTAAAGTAAGGACTAAAAAGTAAGGATAACAGTGCTTAGTGCTTATGAGAGATATTCGTACTTTCCAGTGATTTCGAGGAAGTTTAGGAAAAAAGATTTTCGACTGTCCTGATGAGCTCATGGAACTCACAATGGCCGTCAATACGCATGCGCTTTTCTATGTAAGTTTAATTCGATATTTTGTACTTTTCACGGAGCTGTCTATCTTTTTTACACTCCATAGAACAGCTCATTCCTTATTGGACTATCAACAAACCAGAATACATACTCATAATTTCTGAAAGCATGGAAGGATTAAGAAAGGACAAAGCCCTCGGCGCTGATCAATCCTTGATTGATACGCCATGCATCCCATTTCATTAAACATCGTTGGAGATTGATTGGATGCATATCTGACTTTCACAATGACTCGCGGCGGCCTGCCGATGTATCGAGACACTGCTGCTATTCCCCAAGACAAGTCTGGCATCAATTTGCCGACTCTGGATGGACGAAGGGCTCGGTGAGCCTGGTGCGTGGGGTCGATCCCGCGTGTATTGCAGGGCAGCTCTGACCATTGCTCTACGCGCATCCCTTTTGAAGGCATGAACTGTAAAAATTGTTTATTATTTGTGGTGATTCGGGCATCATTACAAATTTCCAAACCAGGACACACTGGATTCATTGAAAACAAAAGATAGCTTTTTATTTTACGACCTCCAGCCTCCAGCCATTTATTTTGGATTGAAAATTTATCCCTCGCTGTTCATATTAGGTCAAATTTTAGTGGACAAGACTTGATGCTATTATTTTTTGGTAACTATCGATGAGACCTCGTTAACCGTGGTACTTAAGGAGTCGAGAATTTCAAGCTTTTAGAAGTTTTAGTGCAAGTGCTATGGAAGCAAACCCTAATGATACGTTAGGGTCATCTTGTTCTGATGGAGAAAATCCTACTGGTTTTTTTTTTATTGTTTCGCCATCTTTTTTTCTGAAACACAGCCCTAAGCCACAAGAGACAAAGATTTCCTGGATTCAAAAATCGAGACTTCTTTTGTTGTGCAACGCTAAAAGTGGTATTCTATTGATAAAGACCTTTCGATTCTGAAGATTATTACTTCAACTGCTAAAGCTCAGTGTGTTCTGAAACGTATTGGTTCAGTTAGAAGGTCACAACCAACACGCATGAGTCATATTCGACTCATACTTGACCAATTCCTTTGATATGATTACTTTTAGACGGCCAAGGCTTTCGTTCCAGCTATGATACAAGAAAACCATGGTCACATAGTGACGATTGCGTCCATAGCTGGAAAGGCTGGCGTTTCAGGACTGGTACGTTCAATAAACTACTCTGCTCATTTGATTTGCATTGTAAAGTATTACAATAAGTATTGACTAGATTTATCTAGTTATTATAAGTAGTAATTATTACCTGTACCTATGGGAGCATTTGATCAACATATTGCTTCGTTCAAGGTCGACTATTGTGCGTCGAAGCATGGCGCTGTAGGCTTTCATGAATCACTGACAGCTGAGCTGGATGCTCGTGGTAGTACTGGGGTGAAGACGACCGTCGTGTGTCCATACTATATTGACACCGGAATGTTCGAGGGAGTACAGACGAAGTAAATTTACACCTTATTATACAGATTTAGCAAAAATCACATGAAATACGATAATTGTGGAAGTAAAGGTGAAATAGTTCTGCGTAAATCAAACGTGGTCGATGTGATGAAGAAGGGACACATAGGACTGGAAACCATCGATTTTGATCATTGTTTTGATCACTGTTGCTTTCCGATAGGGGTTCTTTAGGTCTTTAGGCTGCTTTCGTTTGATCGATAGCCTATCAAAGTTATTCTTTTTGACAAAGCACGCCTCGAATACTAACTATTTAGGGCTTAGTACTTTGGATTTAGTACTTAGGACTTAGATGAGATCCCCGGAAAGAGGACTTTCAACTTACTCGTTAATCATTCCAGATCACCAACGTTACTACCTATCTTGCAACCGAACTACGTGGTTGATTGTATTATGGAAGCTGTTCTAACCGACAAGGAATTGATTTCGATGCCTCGTTTTAACTACTTCGTCATGTTTGCAATGGGGTGAGTTGTCTGTCATCTTCTTACATCATCATCACCCCGTTTGTCCATTTTTTTTACGTTTCTATTAAAATCACCTGCACTTCAGCTGCTTTCATCAACTTCCGTAAAGTTTCTTGCTCCTTGACTTTACTGTTGACTGACTGGTAACGAAGTGCTCGCCATGTGCATTAAATTTCTGCAGCATAACTTAACCATAAAGTTGTTGAAGCAATGATGATGTTGAGATAATTGCTGAACTCCGGGCTGCTGGTGTTTGCGGTGGGGACCGAACGCGATATCACCCTTTCCGAGGCTAACCGTTCATCTCCACATCATGCGAGTCCTTCGTTTTGACTTTCACTCAGCTAGTTTTCCATCTACCAGTGCCGCTAGTAATTGTCCGTCAACGGGATGGATCTGGCAAGCACAAATAGACATTGAACCCAGTTAGGCTGTTTGAGTTAGACTGCTTCTTCTCATTTTATGCAAATCAGTTACTACCCCATATCCTACCCTACGCCTGGAATGCGGAATATCATACAATTGCTCAGAAATACCTACTTGAAAAGCTGCAATGGTAAGCTTTACGGGTATTATAAAGAGAGTTTAGCATATCTGTGACGATGTGAGTTGATTTTAACTCACGCGTGCTCAATGGAGTCGAATGCATAGCGCAATACTCAGCAGTTCATCAAGCCCTGGATTTTTACTCTCTTATCCTTCGTACATTATACTTCCACGTGATTTCTGTGCGGTTGGTCTCTACGTGACATACTTAGTGGAAACCTCATAGAAAGCGGCTCTGAAGAAGGCGAAATCCGCCGAAACGTCAGCTTAATCGTGAACAAAGAATAGTAACACCTCGCGTTTGCTCAACAAAAATACGAAGAAAATCACTTGATCAATGCCGAGGTTAATAGAAAGTCGGTCGTGGCAGTCTCTTATCCTTCTTTATTCTCATTCTAAGCCCCGCAGCCATTGCACAAAATGTACCTATACTGGAATATGAGACCATAGATGTCGGTTGACGGGTTCACGTATGGGTCTGCAACACTTAATCTCTGCTTATGTTTCAGATTCCTGCCGTCAGATGTACTGAAGACACTGTCGCGATATTTTGGTGTTAACGAGACTATGGAAACATTCAGAGGACGAGCGAAATAAGTCGCTTAATCCAATTCCTTATGAGCTTTATATGATTTGATGATACCACTGATAAGGACAAGGAGGGGAAGTCCCCGTGAGAGAGCATTTATCAAAACGCAAATGCAATATTCCTCACTGATTCTAAGAATTCACGTTTAAATCAGGCTTTTCTGATGTGTTCGTTTCTTTATCGACAAAAGTTTCAACTTTTGGCCTTCATGCAGACACATATGTGTTATCGATTGATTATGAATGCTCAGGCTATCACTACCTTTCCATAGTTAAATACCTCAATGTCTTGACAGAAGTCCTCATTTTGTGTGATAAGCAGATGCAGAGATGTTTCTATGAGATCTCTATTGTCAGTAAATAAATATTTTTGGACTTATTTTGTGTATTACTCATGATGATATGCATGATGTTGCCCCTTCACTTCCATGGCGAGGTTTTTGTCGGCAAACTAATGCATTCCTCTGCTTGAAATAGCAAAATTTGGTCCTGGATTGGTTATCATAGTCTAATGGGAATAAACTGGTTTTCAGAAATGATGTAAGCTGTTTTGTAGTTCCGCTTTTGAACAATTGCTCTCCATCAATTCAGTGAGTGAACCGCAGTCAGTTAGTTTTTAAGCTTCATATTGCGTTCCTAAGTGACAAGTCTTGGGTTAATCGTGGAGCAAGGTGATCTTGTGTTTTATAATATTCAAAAAAGATAAAGCTTTCGGTGTTGATCAGTCCCTGAGGGATGATGCGCCATGCATTCGACTTCATTAAGCATCGGTTGAAAGTGATTGAATACATATTAGGCCTTTACAATGACTCATGGTGTCCTACCGATGTATCAAGCCAGTGCTGCTATGCTCCCTGACAAGTGTAGTATAAATTTGCCGAGCCCGGAGGGATGGAGGGCAGGGTGAACCTCTGGCGTGGGGACTGATCTCATGTGCGTTGCATGGCGCCTCCTACCACTGCGCCACACATACCATTATACTTCCTAATGTGCAGATGGCCTCGGCAGGTCTCGCATTTGGGGATTGATGTTCATAAAGTGCCGTCAATGGTGCGCTTTGTCGATTCAGCAGACCCCGTAATCGAGCCACTGGTGAATATATGTGGGTAGTTGTTCGGTCTGGATCTAAATCTACTCTTGATAAGTTCTGGAAACTACGCTTTCAATTTCCGGGCGAAAATCGCAAGAAGAACCTCATTAACCCAATCTAGAAAGGATTTACACCACAGGCTATGGTACCATTCCACACTTACTATGCGTGTACGTCAAAATCGGAAGCTTCATCTGAGGTCCTGTAAGATTTTTTTTACGAGACCCTTCTTCACATCCACTGTGACGGTCGACGATCTCAGCACTTCCTTCTTGTGTTCATTTCATTTTCTCGTATCCATGATCCACGAAAGTCTTCCAGCTTTTTACGTGTGAATTCAGCTCGTGTTTGAGAATTTTCTTTTCGCCATGAATGTCCTTGAATGCTGGTCTAGTAGATTCTGCCTGGAATCCTGAGATAGCCGGCTTAGAGCGTTCCCCTTTAGATTGTTAGAAGTGGGCTTATCACAGAGAAGTCTGACACCAATTCCCCGATTTCAGAGAACAAGAAGCTTGGTGAACCAGAGGCGTGATTGAACCAAAACCGCGCTCGCGATGGTCGGCACCACCGAACTCTACGCTCCTCAGCTCCTGACAGTGTTAAGAAGTTTGCGTTCGATTCATCAAAGTAATCGACGCTAGACACCACCCTTTCATTAAAACAGTGGATATGTCATAATAAAAGAGTCAGCGGTGTTGACCTCCTCTTCGAAACAAGCTTGGTTGTGAATGGTACGCTAAGCCTGGCTCTATAAATCACTGCGGAACCTTTTGAGAAGCACGGAAGCGGCCTGCGCTGCTTTTACTATCCTCAATGAGATCCTACTTCTACGGAGAGTATTTTCTATATCTTTGACTCTTCTATAACATCCTATGGATGAAAATAATGAGCAACTTCAATGACAAAGCTAACCCATTTCGTGGTAAACTCTTCTATTCAGTAATAATATGTGAACTCAGATTGGTGCTTAACACTTCGGCGACAAGGTGACCTCTATAGAACTCATTTGCTAGAGGATACAGTGGCTGCTGTGACCTCTACAGATGTTCTCAACCCATCAACTTTCCTGATTATCGAACTGTTATCGTATATTGTTAAGAAACCAGCAAGTCCTTAAAGATGTGAAATTATGTGGAAATACTCTCAAGTGTTTATCGATATGATGAAATACTCAGGTTTGTCTGGAAGTTTCCGGGGATGACCATTGCTGTTTCTTGTTCTTAAGGTGGAGTGAATCTATTAGAACATGGGATACAAGATACAACTCTCCGCCTTGATCAATTGCTGAGAAATGCGCCATGCATTCGACTTCATTAAGCATCGCTGAAGGTGAATGAATGCATATCTGGCCTTTACGACTTGCAGTGGCACGCCGATGTATCCAGCAGTGCTACTACCCTCTCAGGTGGGTGTGGTACTAATTTTCTGACTCTAGAAGGATGAAAGGCAAGGTGAACCTGAGAAGTGGGATTGAATCAAAACCACATGTGTATCGCAGAGCATCTCTAACCACTGCGCTAGACGAGCTCCTACACAGACAACTAGACATTATTGACAACTATTGGTCAATATTCATTCGAACAACTTACAACCCGAATCGGACGTTTACGATTAAAAAGACGTGGATCAATCCCAGCTCTGACAATCTTCGTCGTTTACGCGCCGACATCAAACTACATATGGACTTGGAGAAGTTCTACAAAGAAGATCACACATCTTTCAAGGTCATCATTGGAGATTTCAAACCCAAGATTGGACCAAGAAGAACGTCTGAAAACGTCACATTAGGACTCACGGATTAGAATGGAACGAACAGGGTGAGCGGCTGTCTGAGTTTATCATAGCGACCAAGACAATCCATGGTAACTCGCAATTCCAGAAGCCCCACACTCAGCGTTGGACGTAGGAGTCTCCCAGTGGAGAGTACCATAACGAAATAGACCACATCACAGTAAATAGGTTTTACCTAACCGATGTCGCTGTTGTCCTAAAATTCTATACGGGATCAGACCACCGTCCCCTTCGCGCAAGATTCCATTTTTCGCGGAAAGGAGAAAAAGCCGCGTGATTTAAAAACCGTATTCCCAGAACTACCGCAAACTGCGATTTATTCAATTCATTAGTCGGCTGTTGGGAAGATGCCGTTGTCGATAACATCGACGAAGAATACGATCGGCTCATTCAACATCTTCACGCTAGCGCTATGAAAGCTCAGAGTTCGGAAGTCATCAAGAGACGTCTGTCTCCAGAAACACTCGAGCTGATACGCCAACGTGGAATCGCACGAGCTGCAGGCAACCGCGGACTAACGTCCGAACTTGCAAGGCAATGCAGAGAGGTGATAAAAGAAGATCTTGGAGAGAGAAGAGCAGCAGTAATGGCCGAAGCTACAGAGGCTGGGAAAAGCATTCGCAAAACACACCGAAGTTTCGCC